AGAAATGAAGTTTTTGCTTATATAAATGACGTGTAATGATATTGATTTTTTACCGTAATCAAGTTGCTCTTTACTAAAATTGTTAATTCGATTAATTATGTACAAAATCAAGTGCATTCGTAGCAGGAAAAGAAAATTAATCGTGTTTTAAAAGAAATTACCACCCACTAATTAAAAAACTCAAAACTATACATCCAATAAAAATCAGTTGTTTTCTGTCCCGCCATATTAAATACAGTCATACATACATATAAGAACACCTCTGGTTAAGAACACATTTTGCTGTAACGAACTGATTTTGGACCAATTTAATAATGATTTTCTTTGTATATATAAGAATCCTCTGTATAAGAACTAGGAATTTTTCAATAATATTTCTAATTTACCTCGATATATGTATTTATGCTCAAAAACATATTAATTCAAAGCAACAAAGTATTACTGACTTTTTTAATAATAAATATCCAGGTCTTGGGATTGGTCATTCAACGATTTCTAATTAAAAAAATAAAAATCTAAATTTCAATTGCTTGAAGAGAAAGGCCGGAATTTTGCAAACCTTTTAGAATAGATAAGATGATTTCTATTTTTCAAATGGATGGGTCCAAATGTTAAGAAATCAATTGGTAATTTATAAATTCATGATGAAGGAGCAAATGCTCCCATTGAATCACTTCCAGAAGAATGAAATAATTACAAAAGGTAATTTCAATTGGTGATCGGCGGGGTGCATTTGTAACAGTAAAATAATCCTCTTTTTTTTACGTTCTCTACTAAAACATGTTATCCAATTTTATTTTTGGTAACTCATTTGCACCCAACTCACCTGCTTCTACTCTTTTTTAGATCTGCAAGCATAGTTTCAGCAGTAAATCTATCCTTCTCATTTACATTTTCCTGTCAAAAAATAGGCTTTTAGAAGTTGTTTTACTTGCTCAGGCGTGCATTTACTTTCACTACGAAGAGCCCAAGTAATTCATTCTAAATTTTAAAATTTTGTTAATTTAAAATCTAGAAAATATTTATTATATTAATTTTTTTCCTATTTACAGTTCACTCTTTCTATAATGGACCATTTGCTTAGGAAAAAATGTCCGTTATAGACAACAACAACAATAATTTATTATTATATAAATTAG